TTGATATGCCGTCTTCTACGCTGTTAACATGAACATAAAAGAGAAAAAGTCTCTCAGTGCTCTCAGCTTAGTACATGAACAGCAGTCAAATAAATAAAAATAAAAAGTACTTCTTCCCAATTCCTATTGGTGGAATCTCCAGAGTTGATGATATACCTGGAGGAAACCCACGCCAACACAGGGACCACAGCACCACCTGCCTGGAGTTTGCATGTTTTCCCTGTGTTGGCGTGGGTTTCCTCCAGGTACTGCGGTTTCCTTCTACACTCCAAAGACATGCTGGTAAGTTAATTGGATCCTATCTAAATTGGCCCTAGTATGTGTATGTATGAATATGAGTTAGGGACCTTAGTTTGTACGCCCCTTGAGGGTTAGGGACCGATGAGAAAGTACAATATATATGTAAAGCGCTGTGTAAATTGATAGCGCTATATAAGTACCTGAAATAAATAAATAAATACATATTCAGCAGCCTTAATGATAGTTCATGTGGAATGAAGATCAGGGATGGATGAGAGGATGGATGGATGGATGGAGAGCTATAATGAAATTCGGCTGCTTGGCACATCAGATCCAGGAGGAATCCTCAATGGCATATAAAAGACAACAAGGTAGCCAAAGCACAGGAATTAGTAAAAACAATGGGTCATTTATTAAACAAACAATATCCAAACTTACATTCAAATACGAGAAGTGCTGCTTGGATGTAGAGGGAAATGGCAGTATGTGTGTGAGAATGATAAGCCCGGTCTATAGACCGACTACAGCTGTCATCTACAGAAAACCGGACCCGCCGTATAAGGATGGAAAGCAGCAGCATCAACGGCCGTCCTCAGCAAACCTGACATACACTGGGAAGATGCGACGGAGGCCTGTACAACGTGTTTCAGAGGCCCTGCCTCCTTTATCAAGTACAATCATGCACAGGGCAGGAAGCGTTTTTATACTGGTGGCTGAAAACCAGTAAACAGGGAAGGGAAATTAAATGGGAGATGAAAGTGAGGCAACAGCTTTGAAATGACCAATCCGCAGGCTGATATTTATACGTCAATGGCCTGAGACTCAAAACAGAAAAAGCAGCTTTATGCAAAATGTTTTCTAGAGGAAATAGAAGTGGATGTGGTGAAACTAACATGGGTACAATGTTTTAAAATGTTTAAAAATGTTAGAAAATATTGATACACAATTGAGAGACCAAAACAAAAGGAACAATAATGGAAGAGCACTCAAGTATGTGTGAATACACACAGAAACAAAGTGGGGGTGGATAATAGCTAAGCAGACGGGACAAACAACAAGAGCAGGTATGGGAGACAGGTAAATAAAATGTCTGCAGCAGGAGGCATTTTAAAATACAATCCAAGGCACCATTATGACAATTACCCATATTACAAAATGTATAAAAGAACAGAGATAACAAAGTGAAAATTAAACCTATATATAATGGTATTAATAATAGTGGACCCTATTCTTAAAGAGATAATATCTTAATAAACCATGCATGTATAAATGTATACATTCCAAAACGCATATGCAACCCCCCCCCCCCCCCCCCCCCGAAAAAAAAGAAAAAATTATATATACAGTGCCTTGAAAGAGTATTCACACTCCTTGAAATTTTCCACATTATGTCATTCATGTGACAACCAAAGACAAATGTATTGTGGGATTCTGTGATAGACCAACATAAAGTGGCACATAGTTGTGAAGTGGAAGGAAAATGATAAATGGTTTTCAACATTTTTACAAATAAAATATCTGAAAAGTGTGGCGTGCATTTGTATTCAAGCCCCCCTGAGTCAATACTTCTTAGAACCACCTTTTGCTGCAATTACAGCTGTAAGTTGATTTGGGTATGTCTCTGCCAGCTTTGCAGATCTAGAGAGTGAAATTTTTGCAAAATAGCTCAAGCTTTGTCAGATTGGATGGAGAGCTTCTGTGAACAAACAATTTTTCAAGTCTTGCCACAGATACTCAATTGGATTTAGGTCTGGACTTTGACTGGGCCATTGTAACACATGAATATGCTTTGATCTAAACCGTTCCATTGTAGCTCTGGCTGTATGTTTAGGGTCGTTGTCCTCCTGGAAGGTGAACCTCCTCCCCATTCTCAAGTCTTTTGCAGACTTTAACAGGTTTTCTTCTAAGATTGCCCTGTATTTGGCTCCATCCGTCTTCCCATCAACTCTGACCAGCTTCCCTGTCCCTGCTGAAGAAAAGCATCCCCACAACATGATGCTGCCACCACCATGTTTCACGGTGGGAATGGTGTGTTCAGGGTGATGTGCAGTGTTAGTTTTCTGCTAACCCATAGCGTTTTACTTTTATGCCAAAAAGTCAATTTTTGGTCGCATCTGACCAGAGCATCTTCTTCCACATGTTTGCTGTGTCCCCCACATGGCTTCTCGAAAACTGCAAATGGAACTTCTTATGGCTTTCTTTCAACAATGGCTTTCTTCTTGCAACTCCTCCATAAAGGCCAGATTTGTGGAGTGAACGACTAATAGTTGTCCGGTGGACAGATTCTACTACCTGAGCTGTGGATCTCTGCAACTCCTCCAGAATTACCATGGGCTCTTGGCTGCTTCTCTGATTAATGCTCTCCTTGCTCGGCCTGTCAGTTTAGGTGGGATGTACATGTCTTTGCAGGTTTGCAGTTGTGCCATACTCTTTCCACTGTCAGATGATGGATTGATTGAACTGTGCTCCGTGAGATATTCAAAGCTTGGGATTTTTTTTTAATAACCTAACCCTGCTTTAGCAGCACAGTGGCTAAATGGTTAGCACTTCCACCTGGCAGCACTAGGATCATTGGTTCAAATCCCAGCCACAGTACCACCTGCCTGGAGTTTGCATGCTCTCCCTGTGCCTGCATGGACTTCCTCCCACACTCCAAAGACATGGTGAATTGACTCCTGTCTATATTGGCCTAGTATGTGTATGTATGAATGTGAGTTAGGGACCTTATATTGTATGCCCCTTGAGGGTTAGGGACTGATGTGAATGTACAATATATACAGTTGTGTTTACACTAATAGCAGTCAGATATCACTAATCTTATCAATCACGTGTTTTTGGTAGAAATGATATTTCTACATGGTAAATAATTTACTAGCAGGTGTAGTAGAGTAATATAAATCCAACAGACCCAACAGTCATGACATGCATGCTGCTGATTCTGTGTAATTGAATCACTAATTGAAAGGGGCATGTTCAAAATAATAGCAGTGTGGAGTTCTATTAGTGAGGTCATTCATTCTTTGAAAAACAGGATAAGTTCACCCCTTTAGAAAAAAATAATAAATGCAAATTTTTTTGCAGGTAAAAAAATGTGCATTTATTATTTTCATCTGCAGGAGCCTGGAAAGCATTGCACCAGCGATCAGTAGATTGCTGATGCCATGCAGGTCTCCTGCAGAGCTGTCAGAATATCTGCTTGCCGTACAGGATGTACAGTCAAGCAGATATACTGACAGGAAGAATCAATGATCTACCAGGGCACTTCACAGCGCCATGGTAGTTTCTACTGTCAGCTACAAGCTGACAGCCGCTAAGGCTGTGGGGACTTGTAGTCTCTCCATTCACAGATGACTGTGAATGAGTGACCTGGCTGTGTGGGCGGAGCCCCAAGAGGGGAGAAGATCCCCCACTAGCTGTCAAAGCAGGGATTTGGGGGGGGGGGGGGGGGGGGGGTGGGGGCCAGTCTGAACATAACATGTTACATGTTACACCCTGAATATGGGTGTAACAGGTAACATGTTACAAAAAGTGAACTTATCCTTTAAGTGTGCTGTTTCTTATATTCCCCATCATTCTATTATTATGTTATTACTCATTCGGGATATTATCACTTTAAGATTAGGGTCCACTATTATTAATACCATTATATAGGTTTAATTTTCACTTTTTATCTCTGTGCTTTTATACATTTTTTATTATGGATAATTGTCATAATGTTGTCTTGGATTGTATTTTAAAATGTCTCCTGCTGCAGACATTTTATTTACCTGTCTCTCATACCTGCTTTTGTTGTTTGTCCTGGCTGCTTAGCTATTATCCACCCCCACTTTGTTTCTGTGGGTATTCACATGTACCTGGTATTTTCTCCTGAGTGCGCTGACATGATCTTTCCTTGTTTCGGTCTCTCATTGTGTGAGAATACATTCTGTCATTATTTTAAACATTTCAACATATTGTACACGTGTTACTTTCCCCACATCCACTTCTATTTCCTCTAAAAAACATTTTGCATAAAGCTTTTCTTTCTGTTTTGAACCTCAGGTCATTGACATATATATACACACACCAGGGGCGGACTGAACATTTGGAAATTCGGGCACTGCCCGAGGGTCCGGGTCAGTAGGGGGCCCCCATGAGATGCCCCTGGTACCTTTTTCATAGGCTTTTTTTGAGTTTGGGCAAGGACACAGGGGCCCTATGATCCCCTATTGCCCGGGGGCCCCCTGAGTTGTCAGTCCGCCCCTGATACACACTATATTGCCAAAAGTATTGGGACGCGTGCCTTTACACGCACATGAAGTTTAATAGCATCCCAGTCTTAGTCCTTAGCGTTCATTATTGAGTTGGCCCACCCTTTGCAGCAATAACAGCTTCAACTCTTCTGGAAGGCTGTCCACAAGGTTTAGGAGTGTGTCTATGGGAATGTTTTACCATTCTTCTAGAAGTGCATTTGTGAGGTCAGGCCACTGATGTTGGACAAGAAGGTCTGGCTCGCAGTCTCCACTCTAATTCATCCCAAAGATGTTTATCTGGTTGAGGTCGGGACTCTGTGCAGGCCAGTCAAGTTCCTCCACCCCAAACTCACTCATCCATGTCTTTATGGATCTTGCTTTTTGCACTGGTCCCCAGTCATGTTGGAACAGGAATGGGCCATCTCCAAAATTTCCCACAAAGTTGGGAGCATGAAATTGTCTAAAATGTCTTGGTATGCTGACACCTTAACAGTTCTCTTCATTGGAATTAAAGGATGCAGCTGCTCGGCCTTGGAAATATATTCCATGAAGCTCTCTACACACTGTTGTGCTAATCTGAAGGCCACATGAAGTTTGGAGGTCTTTAGCTATTGACTCTTCAGACAGTTGGCGACTTTTGCGCACTGTGCGTTTCAGCATGCGCTGAACCCACTCTATCATTTTACGTGGCCTACCACGTCGTGGTTCAGTTGCTGTTGTTCCCAGTTGCTTCCACTTTGTTATAATACCACTATCAGCTGACCGTGGAATATTTAGTAGTAAGGAAATTTCACGGGTGGACTTATTGCACAGGTGGCAACCTATCACGGTACCACGTTTGAATTCACTGAGCTCCTGGAAGCGAGCCATTCTTTCACAAATGTTTGTAGAAGCAGTCTGCCTGCCTAGATGCTTGATTTTATACACCTGTGGCCATGGAGGTGATTGGAACACCTGAATCCAATGATTTGGAGAGTGTCCCAATACTTTTGGCAATATAGTGTATCAGCCTGTCAGCCTGCTGATTGATCATTTCAAAGCTGTTGCCTCACTTTCATCTCCCACTTAATTTCTTTTCCCTGTTTACTGGCTTTCAGCCACCAGTATAAAAACGCTTCCTGCCCTGTGCATGATTGTACTTGATAAAGGAGGCAGGGCCTCTGAAACGCGTTGTACAGGCCTCCATCGCATCTTCCCAGTGTATGTCAGGTTTGTTGAGGACGGCCGTTGATGCTGCTGCTTTCCATCCTTATACGGCGGGTCCGGTTTCCTGTGGATGACAGCTGTAGAGGTTCTATAGACCGGGCTTATCATTCTCACACACATTCTGTCATTTTCCTCTACATCCAAGCAGCACTTCTCATACCTGAATGTAAGTTTGGATATTTGTTTGTTTAATAAACGACCCATTGTTTTTACTAAATCCTGTGCTTTGGCTAACTTGTTTCCTTCTCCACACTGTTAACATGCAGGGGGAATCAAGTCATTTTCTATCTGTCTCTTGCAGGCTAAAAGATGGAAAGTCAAGTAATTTACCTGTATGCCCAGCCTTATGCAGGCCATACATGGGTCGAATTCTGAGCAAATTTTCTTTAGAAAATCGGAAATTTCATATGTTTTGTGATCCGATGGTGCCACCATTGATTTTGAAATTCAACCAACCAAGCCTGCAATTTCTCCTCATGTTGCTACAGAAAAGAATTTTTGTGGCCAAGAATTTTCTTTTCTTTCCAGGTCACAGCTTTATATTTCTTGCATGATTCTCTCATCAATGATTTGAATTTGTTCGTTTTTCAAAAAAATTTCCAACATGTCCGATCACTCAAATTTGATGGTCATACGAAAAAAGATGCTGCATGCTATACTGTACTTAATGCAATGCACAGCAATGCACAGTTTGTTCACATCTGTGCGCTTTGGTGCTTTTCAACAACAGTGCGCTGCAGTGCACCATGTTAGTGCCTTGAGGTGCTTTTTAAACTGAATGGAAATGCAACACACCACACTGCAGTATACATGTTGCTGTGCATTGGTGGTAATGCATGGTAAAATAGATGCATTTATGCATTGCATTGATATCAACAGGCCTAAGCCCTTCACATCAATGTGACCCAGGGCCGGTTCTAGCCTGTCTGATGTAGAGGTGCAGTAAAAAATCTTTGGGGGGGGGCAAGGGATGTGAGGTTAGTAGGGCAGTGTACAGGGGATCAGCAGGGCAGAGGATAGAGTCAGTAGTTTATAGGGCAGACTACAGAAGTCATTACTTTGTAGAACAATGTACAGTGGGTTATCAGAGCAGAGGACAGTGTGCAACTGAACGGTGTGCAGGGGGTCAACAGGGGAATGTACAAAATTCAGTAGAGCAGAGGACAAAGGTCAACATCAACAGAGCATATGACAGGGATCAGATGGGCAGCACAGTGGCTAAATGGTTAGCACTTCCGCCTGGCAGTACTAGGGTCGCTGGTTCGAATCCCAGCCATGTTTCCACCTGCCTGGAGTTTGCATGTTCTCCCTGTGCCTGCGTGCGTTTCCTCCCACACTCTAAAGACATGCTGGTAGGTTTATTGGATCCTGTCTAAATTGCCCCAGTATGTGTATGTATGAATGTAAGTTAGGGACCTTAGATTGTATGTTCCTTGAGGGTTAGGGATTGATGTGAATGTACAATATATATGTAAAGTGCTGCATAAACTGACAGTGCTATATAAGTACCTGAAATAAATAATAAATAATCAATAGGGTGGAGAAAAGGGATTATCAGGTCAGCAGGATGGAGGACAGGGATCAGATGTGCAGAGAACAGGGGTCAGCAGAGCAGTTTAAAGGGGTCAGCAGGGCAGATGACAGTGGTGAGCAGAGTAAAAGATAGGGTCACTGCTGGCAGAGCACTCACCAGATCTCATCCCCACATTGCAAACAGCCCTGAGTACTCAGAGCTCCTCCACCTCAGACAGCACATAGCTGAGATTGGATTCCCTTACAAACACAGCATCCATCTGCACAGTGTGTAGCTGGTTACAGATCAAGGCTGTGTCTGTAATGAAATTTGATCTCAGCTATGTGCTGTGAGGGGAGGAGGAGATCTGTTGAGTGCCCTCACTTTACGTCTCAGCATAAATCTCTCCCCCTAAAAAAAACACCTTCAAAAAAAACACAGCACTGATCAGCATGCTCACCCCCTAAGCATAAATTCCCCCTGCAAGCCAAAATTCTCCCTAGAACAGTGCAATAATTCCCCCTCCTTCCAGTCCAAATCCACCCTCTCAGCACAAATCTTTGCCACTCATTCCCACCAAATCCCATTCAAATCCCCCGATTCTCCCTGCAAAAATCTCCCCCATCCAAAATAATCACCATTCTCAGCACACATCCTCTTTTCATCAAATTTCCCATCCTAGTGGAAATTCTCCCTGCCAAATCCCCCCTCCGAGCATAAATACTATCCCACAAATCCCCCCTCCTAGCACAACCCCCTCCAAATTATTCTTCCCCAGCACAAATTTTCCCTCCCAGTCCAAATCCCCCTCTTAACCAAAATCTCCCCACCTCCTCTTAGCAAAAAATCCCATCCACAATTCTCTTTCCTAGCACAATCCCCAAACCCCCTTCTTGCACATAATAACTCCCCATCCCCCCTCCTAACACATATTTCCCCCAATCCCCTATCCTAACACATATCCCCCGCCAATCCCCCTTCCTAGCACATATTCCCTCCGTTCCCCCTCCTAGCACATAGCCCCCCCCCCCATAATCCCCCCTCCTAGCACATATCCCCTCCAATCCCTCCTCCTAGCACATATCTCCAAATCTCTCCTCCCAACACATATCCCTACCAAATCCTCACTCCTAGCACATATTCCCCCCCCCCCAATCCTGCCTCCTAGCACATATTCATCCATCCCCCTTCCTAGAACATATGGCCCCAATTCCCCCTCATAGCACATATTCCCCCCCAATTCCCCATCCTAACACATTCCCCATTCCCCTTTCCTAACACATACCCCCCTAATCCCTCCTAGCACATATCCCCCATAATTCCCCCCTCCTAACACATATCCCTCCTAGCACATATCCCCCCCAATCCCCCCTCCTAGCACATATCCCCTCCAATCCCTCCTCCCAACACACATCCCTACCAAATCCTCCCTCCTAGCACATATCTCCCCCCCCTCCAATCCCCCCTCCTAGAACATATTCCCCCAATCCCCCTTCCTAGCACATATGTCCCCAATTCCCCATCACAGCACATATTCCCCCCAATTCCCCATCCTAACACTTACCCCCCCCCCCCATTGCACCTCATAGCACATATTTCCCATTCCCCCTCCCTAACACATTCCCCCCAATCCCTCCTTCTAGCACATATCCCCCATAATTCCCCCCTCCTAACACATATCCCCCCTATTCTCCCTTCTAGCACATATCCCCCCAAATCCCCCCTCCTAGCATCTCCCTGTTTCCCCCTCCGAACACATACCCCCCAATCCCCCCTCCTAGCACATGTCCTCCCAATCCCTCCTCCTAACACATATCCCCCCGATCCCCTCACCTAGCACATATCCCCCCAAATCCCTCTTCCTAACATACCCTCCAAATCCCCCCTCTTAGCACATATCCCCCTAATTCCTCCCTCCTAGCACATATCCCCCCAGTCCCCCCCCCTACTAGCACATATCCCCCCAAATACCCCCTCCTAGCACATATCTCCCCCAATACCCCCTCCTAGCACATATCTCCCTGATCCCCCCCTAGCACATATTTCCCCCAATCCCCCCACTTAACACATATTCCCCCCAATCCCCCCTCCCAACACATATCCTAACTCCTAAAACATACCCCCAATCCATCCTCCTAGCACATATCCCCACAATCCTCCCCTTCTAACACATATCCCCCCTACTAGCACATATCCCCCCTTCTAGCACATATTCCCACCAATCCACCACATATTGCCCCCACTCCAAACTACCCTCTCCAGCACATATAGTCGCCATTCCCTCTACCTCTCATCCCAAGCACAAATTATTGTTACACCCGCATTGATGTACATCAGGAAAGCATGCTCCCTGCGCCGGATCACGCACCTAGTACCTGATCCGATTCCTCCGGATAGGGGGCGTACACGTGTGCCTGCCACCTTGGCTGTGCTGTGATTAGACACAACACAAGCCAATCAGCAGGTCCCGGCCAATGATTGATGGTGGGACCCAGTGATCGACGAAGAGGCAGATAGGACAGAGCTCTGTGAATGTAAACAACTTAGAGCTTTGTCCTGACAGCAGGGATGAGCCAGTTTTTGTTTCCCTGCAAAGCAGAGAATACAAACCATCTCATCCCCTATTAAAAGCACAGTGAACACACAAAGAACTGTTAGGCATAAGCTCTGGGGATATCTCCCCAAACCCTGGTCCTCCAGTATCTCACCCCCCACACTAGGCACCCTCCTTCCTCCAGGAATAACCGCAATCCACTCAATTTAATCTCAATCCCATACTCCTAAAAACCACCCTCCCTTTTTCATGTGCACTCTGGAATGCCCACTCTGTCTGTAATAAGCTCACGTCTGTCCATTACCTTTTTGTCTCCCACTCCCTTAACCTACTAGCAGAAACCAGGCTTCAAGTATCAGATTCTGCTTCTCCCGCAGCACTTTCCTATAGAGGCCTTCTCTGGACTCACTCACCCAGACCCAGTGGTTGGAAATAAGGTGGAGTTGGTTTACTTCTGTCCCCACTGAGCACCTTTCAAGTCCTCCCTAACCCTCCCTCTCTATCCTTCTCTTCTTTCGAGATTGCATTCGGCTGTTTTATCCCATTTCTCTGAAGATTGCAGTGATCTACCGGCCTTCTGAACCGGTGTCACGCTTGATGACTTGTCTACTTGGCTACCCTACTTTCTCT